CTACATTTCATGCATTTTTCTTAGTTTTCTAGCATTTGGCATGCCCCTCCAACCCTTTCCCTTTCATTTTAGGCTTTTTGCATCTCCATGCTAGTTATAGGGTACATTTGCTTGAGAGTTACCCCTTAAATATGAGATATAGATGAGTGTGGCTTTTCTAAGCCTTAGCACGCTTGTATTCCCTCTATCAAAGGGAAAATTAAAATCACAAAGTTAGGAGTCATTCCCGTACCCGACTTGATGCATTCCTCTAGGTTCATACACTCTCATTTTTATCATATCACTTCCTCACCTTCTTTATCCACATTCTTTTACTACTTATATTTTTTCTCAATCCACGTGTCATGATTGTACATTTTTCTTTCCCTATCACTTATTTATTTTCTACCTCATAAATTGCACCCAATTGCACTTATATGCATTTATTACTGTTATACCATATTTTCCTCCACTTGCACACAAACACCTTTATTTGCTCAGTTGGCACACATGCACTTTTCTTACATTTGCACACATGCAATTTTCTTACATTTACACACTTGCACTTACATTTGTATTTTTATTTTTATTTTATTTTGCATTCTTCTTACATTTTCACACTTGCACTCATATTTGGGTCTTCATTTGCATTACCCGTGATCTCTATGAGAGTTTTCCTTATTGGCCATCACAACTCATGTGATTGGGACCAAAAAGCCTCATGAGAGACATTTTAGATTTAGGATTGCATTTTTCTTTTTTCGCATCCATTAGTCATATCCAACATGCAACACATACTTGGGGTAGAAGAATTAGGAAAAGAAGGGCTAAGTCACGCAACTAGCTTTGGCTAGGGTAAGGGAGTGCCTTAGGCTTTGCCTTTGCCTTCTCCCTTATCAAATGTGACCCCCGATCCCTTTCCTTGGTTACGTAAACCTAACAATTCTTTAAAAAGGGTTTGTTTACTTTTCTTTTCCAAAAAATCACTTTTGGGTGACTTGGTACACCCTAACTCTATACCAAGTGGCGACTCTTTTTTCTATCTAAAACCCTTTGTTTGGCCAAACCGTCGCATTTCACAATCCCACGGCCATTTATTTTCACTTTCACACATGTTCACCTACATATCCTACACACTACTTTCACCACATCAAAAAGTGGGGCGCGACACCGGTACGGAGCGAGGATCAAATTTGGTAGATACGAGTGACTTTTGGATGAGAAAATGTTATATGATTTGAAGTGATAATCATAAGTTAGTGAATTATAAGTTAAAACCCTAGTATACGCGATTTAAGGAAAAACGGTTCGAACCGACGTGTACCGTGCATTACCGATTGAACCCACCACTGGACCACTACTTCCTTACCACCACATACCCTTGATATTTTTGCAAAATATCCCCCTCTCATCCTCAGCCATGTGACCAAAATATGTGGCCAAAATGCAAGGAAAAGAAAGAGAAAATTTAGTTGGTCTTGGTGGTGACAAGTGTCAACACCTTATGGTTTCTTGACCAATCTTTTGTCTTGCCTTTTTATCCCTTATTTCAGCCCATTTTCCCCATTTCTTTTCTGGTCTGGCCGAACATCTTGGTGACAAACAAGAGGAAAAACTTCAAATTTCTTCCTTCTATTTCTTGCTCAATCTCACAAACCAACCGTTAAAACCTTGATTTGCTCCATAAAAACCTTTCTCTTGGTAGGATTAAGGTGTGTGGTGAAGTGGTTTGAGAAGCAAAGGTGCTAAGTTGGGTCTTTTCTTGGGTTTGCAAGGTAAGTGACTAAGGAACCTTTCCTTTAATCTTGATAATGTTCAATTAGTGATTTGTAGTGGTTGAATAAGTGATTTTATGGATGATTTCATGACCTATGGTTGAGATTGATGGATTTTTCTTTTGTTCATGATTTTTTGGATTTCATATGATTAGTGTTGGTTAACCATGAATTAATAGTTTGTTATAGTGTAAAATGAAGTTGATATATGTTGGATGTGATTGATTGTGCAAAAATTCTGGTTTGGGGCAAAATTTCCAGGTTAGGGTTTCATACAAGCCTGTTCTGTCCGAATTTATTTCAGCATGTTAGACGCCAAATTAGGCTTGGCACAAAACATGAAAGTTGTAGAGAATGATATTTTATAGTATCCTACAAAATTTCAGCTCAATCGGAGCAACGTAGCCTGTAAAAAGACCAAAATACCCCTGCTGCCCTGTTTCTATCCGAACATACTGATCAGCTTCTGTAATTAGTTGTTTTGACCAGGAATACTACTGATTTGGTTGTTGATGTCTTATTAAAAATTCTAACCTTGTGTCTTATCTTTCTAATGGCTTTGGAATCACTTGAATTGGAGTTGTATATTCTGAGATATGACTGAAGGAGTCAGGACTGCCATAGTAAACTTCGAATTGGAAAATCTGGAGTTGTTTTGGTAAATTTGACCTAGATACATTCCAAACGGAACTGAGTGGCCTTCTTCAACCTTGTAACTCCCTATCTTAGCTTCGAAATGGTATAATTTTTGCCTCAATCCGATAAGCGTAGCCTCAGATGTGCCCATTCCGTAAAAACCCGTCAAAACTGTCTTTTGTAAACTTCGTTTGCACACTTGTTGTTAGCTTAAATTTTTGTCCTTGTATTGTCTTGAGCATATTGAGTGGTTGTTTATGTTGTGTGTAATGTTGGGTTTGATTGAGGAAAACACTGAAGCCATAAATGGCTGGAAAATAGGTAAATACAAATGGCGTGCTGCCCAAATTTTTGCTCAAGGACTAATTTTCTATTTGAACTTGTATATTTTCGTTTAGCAAATACTATGACCGTTTTTCCATCTTAAAACATGGTCCTTCTTCAATTGGAAACTCCAAATGTTTGCTTACTCTTACCAAATAAAGAGAAGTGGTTTAGGGTTTTCTTGGGTACTTTGTTCTCCTTTTTACATGAATTTCATTAAGGCCTTTAGTTTGTAAAATCTACTTGAATATGAGATGATTTTGAACCATATAAACGATTCCGAAAACAGTATTTCTTAGCCTATCTAGTTGGATTCCGACTTGTCTTTGGTTCAAGTGTTTTCATTGGAAAATTTTATAATCCTTTTGAGTTTGGTTTTACTTTTGGTCTACGAAACCCTAATTATCTTGTCTACGGGTCTAAATGTCCTCGTTTCACTTTAAATACCTAATTGTTTATGCTAGATGAGCTGTAATATTTTGTCTCGTTAACTTTAGGTTTTCTCGGTGACTAAGGATAATATCCAGAAGGATATTTTGCAAGTTGTTTTGCGTACATAGGTGAGTGTTCCTTCTTTGTTATATCTTCCTTGACTTCATGACTTGTTGTTATTGTTTGATCATGTGTTAAATGTTTCCAATGATTTCCAAAACGAATTTTCCAGGCGAGCGTGTACTTTATCGCGCTCGACCTAAATGAGACGTGAAATTTTCAATGCTTTAATGATTAATACATTAGTTGCGCATGATGTAAGCCTTTTGGCTGAATTGGGCCCTGCCCTTCGTTACCGACTGACTCGAGCCAGAAGCGGACTCGGTCGAGTGATATGGTGACCCTGGGTGAACGTTTGGTATACTCGAGTATTACCTTGTAGTCCGGACAACGTCCGGATGGGTGGAGCCTGGCCAACAGCGGGAAAGGGGGTGAATGAACGAACGAAAGAACAAACGAGGGATTTTACTTACAAAAATGCATTTTTAAATGATTGGAGGAATAAGGGGAATGACAGGAGAACGAACGAACGAACGAATCGCTCCATATGAGCCCGTATCCTTTTAATGAATCTATTACTATCGCTTTCTATTGTAAATGTTTCTTGAATTATTGATACTCCGTGTTTGATGTATTGAATTGATTACTTGATTATGTGTTCAGAACCTCACTGAGCTTTTAGCTCACCCCTTTAGTTTTGTTTTCCTTAACAGGGGACGGCGAACAGGATGAGAGCATAGACTAGCCTAGTCTTGTTCTTTTGTTTTTTTTTTGTTTGTAATGGTTTTCGCCCCAGTGCTGGGCACGGACTGGACGTATGAAGGATTGAGAACCTTTGTATATTCGATGGTTGTATTTCCTTTTGAGATAGCAATGTATATAAGTTTCGCTTAAGTTTTGGATTTTGTTATCCTATTCCTATGGTTGTATTCCGGATTTGATTGAAGTGAACGACTGAGTCACGGCGAGAGCTGGGCAGGCGGTCCGCCGAACCCTTTGGTTCGCCTTAGGGGGAGGTGGGGCTGTCACACCTTTCTAACCTAGGCTCTCATTTCTTTTGTATTCGGGCGCAAGAATCCCATCAACGATAATTCACAACTCAAGCCGGCCGGTCCCAAGAGTAAATCATCCATATTAAAGATTCCCACTCGACAAGCATACCTAACTTCCTCAAGTCCCATGATAAAGATCTTTACACTTATGACATGCACGGTTCATAGCTTATGCTCAAACGAGAATTTAGACACATTCACGAAATCAGGACCATAACACCACTGACCCAAGCTCACTCCGCGCAGAGACCACGCGAAGCAGCTCTGATACCACCTGTGACAGCCCCACCTCACCCTAAGGCGAACCAAAGGGTTCGGCGGACTGCCTGCCCAGCTCTCGCCAGGATTAAGGAGTCCATTCCCACAAACCCAACATAGTACGTGCGAAAGGATCCAAAGAAAATGAACAATCGGAAACTACATATATTTTCATTGAAGTCTTGAACAAATTAACATACAGTACAATCCGAGGCATTCATACTACACAAAATACAATTAGGGCTTCGTTTTCAAAAGAGCAAGTACAATTAGGGTTTCCAACCATTGAGGAGCAATACAAAATATCTAACTAGCTCAACTCAAGCTTCAAAGTCACAGTTCCAAAGAGTGGTTCCCTGTAAGGAAAACAAAGGTAACAGAAAGGGGTGAGCTTACGCTCTTTTTTTTTTATTACCAACAATTGAACACATATGAAGGAGGGAACAAACCCCCAAAGACCTGAAGATTACAACCAGAACACACCCTAAACCTCATCAATTACCCAACGAACCCCCGGCACTCCACGCACGTCAAGAATAATCGAAGCCCGAACTAATGCCGGTAGTTGCTGAAACTGATCATACACCCGGGTGCCTCCAGCCCCTATAGCTGCTAGCCTATCCGCAGAAGAATTGGCCTCGCGGAAAATATGTGAGAATGAAGCCGAAAAACCTTGCAATAAATCTCTAACTTTCCTCAATGTATTACATAATGGCCACTTAGCTATTACCCCCGAGCCAACCAGCTGCACCAACGTTTTGGAATCCACCTCGACTAATGACGGACAAAGCCCCCGTTGATGACACAACTGCAAACCACACAGCAAAGCCATACTTTCTGCCTCCAACACAGCCTGATCTCCAAATTCTTTGTAAAAAGCAAAAATCAATTTTCCATGACTATCGCGTAACAGACCACCACCCGAGGCCCTACCACAATTCACGCTGGCGTCCGAGTTGAGCTTAAGCAGCCCCAGCGGAGGTTTCTCCCAGGCAACCGCACAAGGGATTCCCCTCCGCGGAGAGACCTTAATGGATCTTAGCAACTCGCAATCCGCATCCCCTGTAAAGTGCGCCCGACGAAACTTACCTGCCCTTCCAAGCTGTTGTAAAAAATAGTCCACCTCGCAGAGTATCTTGCCGACCTCCTATCGCAGGCCCTGATAGCGCTCCTGGTTCCTGGCTAGCCAAAGGAACCAGCACACTACAATTGGCATGACTACCCGAATGTGATCCTTCGCAGAGGAAACTGAAGTAAAGTGCCAAGAGACAAATACCGACGCCATACTCGAGCAATTACGCAAATGAAAACCAAAACGGCCAGACACTCTCCGCCACACTTCCGATGCAACCGGGCCAGTCAAGAAAACATGCAAAAGAGCCTCCTCCGCCTGGTAGCAACACCCGCACCGAGAGGGCAAAGCCAAACCCCGACAACGCAACGTCATATCCAGAGGGAGGAAATTACGCACCAATCTCCAAGCCAAGAAAGACATTTTTGCCGGCAAAACCGAAGGCCAAAGTAGGGAGTCAACAAGAGACCGATGCTTCCTTTGCCGAAGCACCTCCCATGCCGACTTAACCGTGAAGCATCCCGTTGGTGAAGGCAACCATACCATCATATCCTTCCGAGCTAAATCATGGGTACTTCTTTGATCGCCTGGACGACAAACCCTGGAACCCACCGGCCAAGACGCGTTTCATCCCATCCATCGCTGGCAATAAACTCCGCGACAAGGAAAGGAGGCTTCTCAGATTGATCCACCACACTCTCTAACGGCTCCTGAAAAACCCATCTATCCTTCCAAAAATCCACAAGGCCTTCCCCTAAGCACCACCTAATGTTCTGTTCAGCCATTTGACGTATGGCTATAAGACGCCTCCAAGTACCTGAAGCCCGCTCTACCAATGCCTCCGACGGATGAACCCCTTTGATGTATTTGGCATGCATGAACTTTGCCCAAATGGACTCTCCAAGCCTAAATGGACATGGCAAGGGCATTTGCGGTGAGCTTACGCTCAATGAGGTACCAAACATATAGGGATAAAATCATGGCCTTTCATGTTGAATCAATCAGATACATATACCGGATATAAGGAAAGCAGTTAAACACCATGGTTCAAAGAAAAAGGATACGGGTCGCTCTCAGGAGCCAGATTTCCATTTGCAGTACTTGATCCGAACCCGTTGACTCTCCGTCAACGTAATTAGAACCAACATGTCCGTAGACCCCACTTTACACCAATTTTCGTCCACCAAACATACCCCTACCGGGCCCGAACTCCATACAGTACAGAAATGGTAATACTCGAGTATACTGGAATCAAGAGTCTCAATACCCAAAGATTCCCAGAACAGACTACTGTGGTTCGTTATCTAATCGACCAGGCCCTTGCCGGCCCGACTTGAGTCACTAGCCACAGGTGTTGAGCTCAGAGGTCACAGAAAGGTCGTTGGATACCAGCCTCCAAACGACGTCCGAACAGATTCAGATACAGTTAACAGACTATACACAGTAAATAGGCATATGGACAGACAAGAGAGCGAGTGTGATAAAGTACACCCTCGTCTCCAATAGAATAAACAGATAGTACAGTCATTCAAATCACAGATTGCAAGTACAGAAATCAAGTTAAGTAACAAATAAGGGAAGTGGTACACCCACCAGTTCAGGTACAGGTACTTCCAAAAATTTCCACCCAATGTGGCCTAATCACCGTGAAACCCTAAGAAAAACAAAGGTAAAACAGTTGACATTTCTTCATCCAAAATCGAGTAAATAGGATGCACAAATGAAGTTCGATTACTAGTCAGGTACCTCTCCAAGTTATATACTAGTACGAAAAATAAAAGACGACTTAAGAATAAAAGAAAACGGTTGGTCCTAAGGACATACGTGACCCCAAAACCCCTCACTCCTCTCAAAATCATACTTACAATGGTGTACTAGCTCATATCTCAAGGTGAAATTGAAAGCGAAAATAATTCCAAGAAAATAGAATTTTTCCAATTTTGTACACCCCTAATTGAAAATCATATCTCAGGATTCTTAAGTCCGAAATTGGTAAAATTTACACCGTTGGAAAATAGACTCAAAGGGGTAAAATTTCTCAGAAGACACATTTAGAAGATTCAGATCACAAGCCAATCAAATTCGAGCCTCAAATTGTTGTCGTAACCAGAAAAGGCAGAACAGGTATACAATTTCGGTTAACTTTGAAAAATCACCATAAATCCCACAGACCAAACCAGAGACTGAAATTTACACGGTTCATAGCCCTATGAATCTAGTTTAAAACACAATAAACAGAACTCAATTCCGATATTTTGACATCCAGATATTGCAGATTTCCCAGAACTGCTCCGGGGTTCCTGCGAAAATTTTAACAGTGTTTCCCCTTGTTTTTCTTACTTTTCACCCTACAATTCAACACCAAATCAAGCACAACCTCAAATATAATTCACAAGCTATTAAAAACATCTAATTAGGGTCACAATACCCTTCATATATAGTCAATTACAACACAAGGTTAATAATGTAACCAAAAACCAATTTAAAAGACAATAGGCCAAACAGGCAGGTTTGACGTCTCTCGATGTTTCGATCGTAACCTAAGCTACGCTTATCGGATTGGGGTGTAATTTATATGTTCAGAAGCAAACAGAAAGGGCTACAATGTTACAGAAGGTCACTCAGTCCAGTTCATAGTGAAACTAGGTCAAAAATGCAGTATACTAAACCAGAACCGCAAAAACAGGTGAACAAACCGCATTTTGGTTAATGAACTGTAATTCAGGCTACCTAGGTCCAAATCAAGTGATTCCAAAGCCATCCGAAATCTAAGATATCAGGCTACATTTCTTCAGAAGACCTCAACAACCAATTCAGAAGTATTCCCAACCAAAATAGCCAATTACAGAAGCAATTCTCAAGTTCAGGTAAAAACAGGGCAGCAGGGGTATTTCAGTCTTTTCACAAGCTATGCTACTCCAATTGGCCTGAAATTTTTCAGGCATCTCTAAAATATCATTACCTACAACTTTCATGTTTTAACCCAAGATCAATTAGGCCTCTAACTATGATGAACAGTGCCAGGCAGAAAGGGGGTAATCGAAACCCTAACTTCCGAAATTTCCGTTCAATGCGGAAATTTTCCACAATTAACCACCACTCACATCCTCTAGCTTCATTTTAGATCATTTCCAACCATCATACATGGCCACACAATAATAATCATATGAAAACAGAAAAATCACAAATAAATATAAAACTTCACCAATTTCATCCAAAAATCACAAAATAACCACTAAAATCATCACTTAAGCTCACATTAATCACTAATTAAGCATTATTGAAGAGAGAAAAGGAGTTCCTCCACCACTCACCTTACCAAGTCAAGAAAGAAGCAACTTAACACCTTAAGCTTCCAAACCACTTCACAACCAAGCTTAACTCTACCAAACTAAGAGGTTTTATAGAGTAATTGGAAGATTAATCGGTTTAATTGAAAGATTGGGCAAGATTGAAGACAAGATTGTGAAGAGTTTTCTTTTCTTTTGTTGCTTGAAGAGGCCGGCTAAGAGAGGGGGAAAAATGGTGAATTTTGATATTAATTTGGTAAAGGCATGAATAGTGGTCAAAATGGCAAGATTTAATCACATGGTGACACTTGTCACCCCATTAAATGCATGAATATCCTTTTGTTCTCTCTCACTCTAATCCATAAGGTATCATCTAATTATCTGCTAGCACCCGATAATTTAAGCCTAGTATCCAAAACATGACCTAGTTGGCCGAATTTTTCCGAACTTTTCGCACTAGCGGGTCCCACGTCCGGTATACGCTCTTAATTTCTTAAAAACTAACCGATACTAGAAAAATCACCTAAAGACAATATTTACTCATAAAAATTATCTAGAAAATTTTCCTAATAAAGAAAATGCAGAAAACAAGCCATTAAATAGAATAAAACCCTAGAAAATTAGAAAATTACGGGTTCTCACACTCTCTCCCCCTTAAAAGAATTTCGTCCTCGAAATTCCTTATCATTGCCTTCTCCGGAATACAAAAATTTTACTACTTCCTTTTCACGATTAAATTGAGTATCATACTTAGCTAATAGATCTGTACCCCTTCACTGGCCAGGTTCATTGCATTCTTTGGTATAGTTTCTTCTTCCTTCCCAAATTGTATTCTGATACACCATTCTAATGGGCAAACGGTGGAATACCAGAATCTTACCTTCCACGTCCTCTAATGGGTCAGAGACTTGATGTTGTTCTAAGGAGTACACCCGAGATGACACTTTCGATCCATTCTTGTCCCTCTTCGACGGGTCAGGGTTGGTCGTGGTTGGTGGCAGAGTTCCTCTCAGCTCGCGCAAGCAAGCTGGACAGTTAGCAATCCGATGTTCGGCGCTTCCACAGCGCAAGCATTTTCCTTCTTTCTTCCAGCAATTTGCTTATGTATGATTTGGCCCTCCACAATATTCACAGGGACCACGAGTAGCAGAGACTGATCCCCCCTGTGGGACACCACCTGACAACCCCCAGTAGCCGTACTCCCCCATTTTTCTTTTCCAACTTTAGGGGCTGTACTCTTATCCGCTTGTTCTGAGCTACCCCCAGGAAAGCCCCTTTTCTTGGTTTGGAAGTTTCTAACTTGTAGCCTCGCATCTTCAACCCGCTGGGCTTTCTCCACAATATCACTAAAGGTATTAAATTGAGCTACCGCCAAATCCTTTTGAATCTCAACATTTAGTCCCTGAATAAAACGCCTTATCCGTCTTTGTTCGGTTATGATCAGTTCGGGTGCAAACTTAGACAACCGAGTGAATTGACTCTCATACTTGGCTACGGTTTGAGTTCCCTGGCGAAGCCGAATGAATTCATCTTCCTTTTTTTCTTGGATTAGAGGAGGGAAAAACTTGGCGTTAAATTCTCTCATAAAATTCGCCTATGTCCTCGGGGTTCGTTCTCTTTCCCATTTCATTCGAATGACATTCCACCAGGAACGGGCGGCTCCCTCTAGTTGAAAGGCAGCAAATGTCACCTGTCTCTCCTCGGTATAGTGTAAAGCAGCAAAAATATCGATCATCTTATCCAGCCACTTCTCAGCCACGTCAGGATCAGGGCCTCCTAAAAATTTGGGTGGGGAGAACTTTTGAAATCTCTCAAGGGCTCTATCCTCGCCCTTTATGTGATTACTAGGGTTCCCAGGGTTGGGGTTAGGGTTTTGACCCTGTTGGTGCACCACTTGGGCAAACAAATCAGTCATTTGCTGATTTGGACGTTGGGGTCAACCCTAGGTTCAGGGTTTGGTCCATATGAAGTTTCTCCAGTGCCCCTCTCAGATGTAGGTTGCCTAATTCCACGCCCACGGCCCTATCCACTACGAGTGCCTTCCATTGGTCTAATCAATCCAGGGTCGAAACGAGAATATAATATTAAACATAGGTAGGCAAAAGCAAGTAGCAAGAGGTATGCACAGATCAAAAGCATACATATATAACATAACTGTACCAAACAAGCCACACAGTAGCAATCAATTAGATACAAATATGAAAAATTCATGAAAACAGCGGGGTCATCCAAAAGTACTATAGACAAACTAGGTCA